AAGATCTCTTACCAACTTAATTTCCTGCCAGCAATGTATAATTGTAATTTTTCATTGTGATTTTCATTTGCATTTGCTGGTTACTAATGAGGTCGAACGCATTATCACTTGTTTTGGCCATTTAGGTTTCTTCTGATGAAGTACCTAAGTCATTTGATCGTTTTTCTTTTCTTTTCTTTTTTTTGAGATGAAATCTTACTCTGTTGCCCAAGCTGGAGTGCAGTGGTGCAATCTCGGCTCACTACAACCTCCACCTCCTGGGTTCAAGCGATTCTCCTGCCTCAGCCTTCTAAGTAGCTGGGACTACAGACATGCGCCACCATGCCTGGCTAATTTTTGTATTTTTAGTAGAGATGGGGTTTCACTGTGTTGGCCAGGCTGGTCTTGAACTTCTGACCTTGTGATCCGCCCATCTTGGCCTCCTAAAGTGCTGGGATTACAGGCATGAGCCACCGTGCCTGGCCGTTGCCTGTTTTTATTTTGGGTGTTTTGTCTTTGTCTTGTTGATTAACAGAAGTTCTGTATATTCTAGATATGAATCCTCAATGGTTAAATGTATTGCATATATCTTCTCTCATTTTATGTTTTTTTTAATTCTTAATGTCTTTTGACTCACTGCCACCTCTACCTCCTGGGCTCAAGCAATTCTCCCACCCCAGCCTCAATTCTCCCACCCCAGCCTCCAAAGTAGTTGGAGCCACAGGTGTGCACCACCATGCCCAGCTAATTGTTTTATTTTTTGTAGAGATGGGGTCTCATTATTTTGCTCAGGCTGGTCTCAAACTCCTGGCCTCAAGTGATCCTCCTGCCTCAGCCTCTGAAAGTGCTGGGATTACAGGCATGAGCCACTGTGCCTGGCCTTCATGTGTCTTTTCATGAAAAGGTATTCTCAACTTTAATATCATCAAATTATCTGTCATTCTTTTTATAATTAATGCTTTATCTACAAACTCTTTTACCCAAGATCTTGAAGATATTCTTTTATATTATCTTCCAGAAGGCTTATCTTTTCACTTTTAGGCCTATAATCCATCTAAAGTTGATTTTTGTATGGTGTGAGGTTGAGGTTCAATTTCGTTTTTCCCCTAATGGATATTCAGTTGTCCCAGCACCAGTTGGTGAAAAGACCATCTGCTTCTTTGTGGTGTCACTTCTGTCATAAATAAGGGTTTGTGTGTACTTGCATCTGATATAGGCTCTTCGTTCTATTTCATTGGTCTGTTGATGTGTTCCTGCACTGATACCTCACCATATTCATTCCTTTTTTTCTTTTTGAGACAAAAGTCTTGCTCTGTTGCCAGGCTGGAGTGCAGTGGTGGTATCTTGGCTCACTGCAGCCTCCGCCTCCGCCTCCCAGGTTCAAGGAATTCTCCTGTCTCAGCCTCTTGAGTAGCTGCGACTACAGGTTCCCACCACAATGCCTGGCTAATTTTTGTATTTTTAGTAGAGGTGGTATTTCGCCATCTTGGCCAGGCTGGTCTTGAACGTCTGACCTTAGGTGATCCACCTGCCTTGGCCTCCCAGAAGTGCTGGGATTACAGGCATGAGCCACTGCACCCGGACTACTGTATTAATTTCTATAGCTTTATAGCACGTAAGCCCCCACTTTGTTGTTTCTTTTTAGAGATGAGATCTTGCTCTGTCACCCAGGCTGGAATGCAATGGCATGATCATATCTTACTGCTACCTCAACCTCCTGGGCTCAAGCAGTTTTCCTGCCTCAATCTCCTTAGGAGCTAGGACTATGGGTACACACCACCACAACCTGCTGATTTTTAAATTTTTGTAGAAACAGGGTCTCACTGTTTGCCTAGGATGATCTCAAGTTCCCACTTTGGTTTCCCGAGGTACGGGATTACAGATGTGAGCCACCGCACCCAGCCTGTTCTTCTTTCTTAAGAGTGCCTTGGCTGTTCTTGTTCTTCTGCCTTTCCATGCACATTTTAGAATCCACTTGTTGAATTTCAAAAACACTCTGTTGGAACTGTTGGAATTTTGATTGAGATTATATTTAATTTAGCAATCAATTTGTTTAGAATTGACATCTTTATAATAGTAAGGCTTTCGTCCAGGAGTCAAGTATATCACTGCATTAATAAGGTCTACTTTATTGTGTATCAAAAAATTATTTGAAATAAAATTCACCATTTCAATTTTTGTATTGTAAAATATGCACAACATAAAATTTAAATTTTAATCATTTCAGAGTATACAATTCAATGACTTTTAATACATTTATAATTTGCAACTCACCAGTATCTAGCTTTAGAAAATTTTTATTATGCCCCCTCCAAAAAAACCCATACCCATTAAATATCCATTAAGCAGTCACTCCCCAGTTCATAGTAACCTCTGCTTTCTGCCTTGGAGGATTTGCCTATTATGAACATTTCATATAAATGGAATCATGTATATGTGGCCTTTGGTGTCTGGACTCTTTCAGTTACAGCAATATTTTTAAGGTTTACCTATGGCATAGCATGTATCAGAACTTCATTCCTTGTTATGGCTGAGTATTAAAATGTGTATGGACATACCACATTTTAATAATATGTATACATAAATCTATAAGTTGATGGATGTTTGTCAATAAAATTTTATCCTTTTTTTTTTTTTTTGGAGACAGACTCT